CATCCTGAACTTTAATCCAAAGCCACACTTGGGGTTTGCCATTGAAACCAAGAACAACTCACCTCTCATCACTGCTTTAATGCCACCCAGCCCTAAATTGCTCCATAATTAGGTGTACCAGCCAGTAATTCTAGGCTGTGTCTATTCTTTTATGTTTAGCACAGAGGTGATTTTCTGGCTCCATGTCTGAATTGCTTTTGTGTTTCTATGTGTCTGCTTCAGGGGCCACAGAGTTGCTACCCACAAATCCTTCAAGGCCAGTGTTGTCACATTATCTTATTCTCCTCCCGAAATCTTGGGGGACCCAAGGAGCAATATCAACAAGGCAAATGGGGGGCAGGTGCTGCAGTCATAGTCAACAGATTCTGAAGGTGGGGAATCTCCACCTTGGCCTGAGGAGGACGGAGAAGGTTTCTTTCCAGCTACCTGCTCTGCTCCCATGTCGCCTTGGGGGTGGCTGGCTTGACTCTCACGAGCAGCGCCCCAGGTAGTGGGGCTGTGGGGGCTGCCGTGACTAGATGCGAAGACCAGGAATAGGGTTTTGCCAGCCCAAGTGAACCTTCTTTCTAGAACTTGCTTCCCAAGCCCTTTCTGCCCAGGGTCCCTGTGCTAACCTTCACGCTCCCGCCGTGGGATCCACCCAGACTCGTTGATCTCAAAGACAGTCTCTTTCATTCAAGTCCTTGACCCTTCCAACCCCTCAGCTGTCCATTGTCCTGCCACCTCAGGGTCTTACAGAAGTCCCGATAAACCACCTGTTTAAATTAACCAGGCAAACGGCTTGAAGGAGAGCTATGCCAAAGGATGAAGTAAAAAGCAGCAGAATGTGTTGCTTCCTATAACAACTCAGCCGATGCTGGGTGAGCTCACGCTGTGAACCCAGTGGAACGCGGACCCTGTACAGTATTGTCAGGGAGGTGTGCTGGGGAGAGAGTCCTGACGAGTATATTCTGCGGTGCGAACACTGCCAGTATGCTGTGATTTCAAGCTGTCCATGGTGGAAGGATAAGCCATAGAACCCCCTAATATTTCATAACTGGCTCTCACTAGCACCAATGGCTGAGGCTAGCAGCCCACACCTGGTGGGCACGAGGGTGTCAGCACACTGACGTCATCTGGAAATAGCGGCACCTGGTGGAGGCTGCTGTTGATTGGTTGGCACTCGGAGGGGCGGGCTTTCAGGGTGAGTCCGTCCCGGATTGGCTGACTTTCAGAGGCATGAGGTGGCTCCCGATTGGTTGGTTTGCTAAGCTGTCCCAGGGATGAGCTGTCTGATCCACTGAACAGGTTTCAAATTGGTTGTGACAGCTGCTTGTTGCCATAGTTATAGAAAAATCTGCCCTTCCCTTAGTTTGCTAATTCTTAAAGGTCACCCACACTAGATGAATATTTTAACAAGGGTCTTTCTTAACAATAGCAGGACTGTCCAGGACAATCAGAATTTCTGTTAGAATAACCGCTTTTTGTATGGTCAGAGACCGCCCCCACCCCCACCTCCCCGGACACACAACATACTTTAAAATGGACAACACCCTAATGAGCTGTGTTTCTTCTACCTTTTTCTCCTGTTTCTATCTCCATGAGTTTTTATGGATCTGGGCCTGAGGAGGGAATTTTTATGCAGGACTTTGGCTTCATTCTGAGAATTTTTCTCTTTGAGATAAATAGCTCTGATTCCTTAAACCGCTGATTACAGATACACAGGTGTGTGTGATACCTAAAGGAAGCAGGTGTTTGATATCTAAGCGGACAGCCTCTCTATGCTCCCACTTAATCTCCCCCACCCCCACTCCCTGGTCTATGAAACAGGAACAGGATTCTTTGTGAAAGTTGGAAGAGGTTGGGCTGTATATATATTTTCCTGAATTCACACTGGCGTGACTGACCACACTTAATTGCTGTTTTGTCTCTTCAATGGCTTGAACCAGTATGGGATCCTCTTGCTACTTCAGGGACACCCCACCTTTGGAATCCACCGTACCAGCATGGTCTACTCTCTCCCAGAATGTCCACCCACCCAGTGGTTAGGAGCAGAGACTCGGGTGTGGAAGAGCCTGAGCTTAAACTTTGGCTGGCACCTGGCACCTCGTTTTCTGACAGCAACATGATTTGAGTAAACAAACATTCCTACAAGGGGCAGTGACTTCTGCCTTCAGGCAGACTTGCCTTAACTGCTGAGGAGGTCACTGGCTATTGGATTCACTCCCTACAGGAGGAGCAGGGAACGAAAAAGCAGAGGAGGTTGAAAATGAGCTGCAGACAGAGAACGAGGTAGGTCATGCGGTTCTGCTCTGTTCTCTGCCTCCAGACCCAGTTCCAGGAGCTCCACACTGCCCCAAGCCCTTGCACCGTCACTTACTCTGCCTCCTGGGACTTCCGAGGCAGTGGCCTCGCCTCACGGAGTGCTCCCTTTGATCTCTCAGGGAGTGTTCAGCACCCCTGACCACCTCCTGCTCTCCAGGTCATTCTGTCGGGAAGGCGGCCCCACAAGCTGGCTGTGCGCCTGGACTCTGCAGCCTGACTGCCTGGGTCTACCTCCTCCCGCTGGGGCGGGTGACAGCCTAGCTGAGCCTCTGTTTCCTCATCTGTGATTTGAAGATAGTCACAGCACCTGGCCCGCCCTGTTGTCATGCTGACTTTTACTACAAATAAAAGGTGAGCTGCACACAGCAAGTGCTATGTAGCAAGTGCTCCTTACGTCACCAGGTGCGCCCTTCCATTAGCCACTTTGCCCTCTAAGTTCCTCTGCTCTGCAGGTTCTAGCTCAGCCTCTCTCCCTCCACAGTGCCTTCGAGAAGCCATTCACCTTGCAAGTTCCCAGCACCCGCCATGCTTCAGAGTGACTCTCGTAGAGGCTAACACGTCCTCTGCCACCCTCGGCTCCTTCCCCTTCGCATTGGATGCTCTTCCCTTACCGGTTGATGATCATGTTATTCTGACTCCATCAGAATCTGCAATTCTTACCCTCTGCTTTTTCTCCCCAAATCTGCCTTATGACCAAAACCTGATCTTCTTCTTACTTCACCTGCTTGGTTCCAAAGCCACTCCCATCCAGCACAGCTCCCTGCACACAATCCTCTGCTCAAGGAAGTGCATCTGGTCAAGGGCACTGGGGTGGGACCTCTTTCCACACAGACAGCGAGAACGGCCCAGCGAGGAGGTTGCTTGGGCAATAGGCTCAGTATCGCCGGCTCCTGGCAGAGATGCCGACTGTGAACCCAACAGCCCTCCCGGCAGTGAGCTGGCTGTGACCCCAACACTCAATCCTGACATTAGGACAAATCAGGACATACACACTCATGTTTACACACACGCATGCACACACACAACCGCACACTGCCACCCACACACTTTCTGGCGTCCCCTGTGGGAGGGCACGGGTATTACTCACGCAGCTGAGATTCAGGGCATCTCTCCCAAGTCAACTCCCGCTCACAAAGGCACTTCAAGCAACAACAGATAGTGGCTAGGATGTGGAGAAAATGAACTCTCCTGCACTGCTGGTGGGAATGCAAACTAGTACAACCACTATGGAAAACTGTTTAGAACTCAAACTGCTAAACATGGAGCTTCCCTATGACGCAGCAATCCCACTCCTAGGTATCTGCCCAAAAGACACAAAAACACTGGCTGAAAAAGATACCTGCACCTCCATGTTTATTGCTGCTTTACTCATAATTGGAAAGACATGGAAACAGCCCAAATGCCCAAAAGTGGATGACTGGATTAAAAAAAGATGTGGTACATATACACAATGGAATATTAGCAACCAAAAAAAAAAGAAGAAGAAGAAGAAAAAACATGTGTCTTTTGCAGCAACATGGAGGAGCTGCAGAAGATCATGCTTAGTGAAATAAGCCAGAAAGAAAAGGAAAAATACCAGATGGTTTCACTCATAGCAGGAGTATAATGGACCAGGTGAGAAAATAATGATAATGATAATGATGAATAGCTATGTACTAGAGACATTTTGTGGGGGTGGAGGAGGGACTGGTATCAAAAACAGTGGGGGGAGGGAAATGCACTGGACTATGGTGATGGCACACGGGTGATTTAGTAATGGGAAGCCCAAGGGGATTGCAACTATAATGGAGAAATACACAAAATGATGTAAAAATAATATATATATCCATATGTGTGTATGTGTGTGTGTGTGTGTGTACAGACACACACACACACACACACACACATATATATACACTTATATAAAGGTACTTTAGATACCCCTCCAACACGGATTTCTTCAGAAATCATTACAAACAAGGCCCTTCAGAGCCATCCCATCCTGCCTCCTCCTTTACCCCTCTATGTTCTCAGTGGCTATAACCAGGCCCACCTTACCCTTGCCTCCTTCACCCCTGCCCTGGTGAGCACAGTGCCCTGTCTCCCCAGCACTAATGTTCCTCACACCTGAGATGCCCCCAGCTTGCAGTTAACGAGCCAGTACCCCCCAGCTGGGCTCAGCTGGCCCCCAGCGGCCCCACACGCCCTGAGCCCTCTCAAAATGCCTCGCAATCATCCACCAAGGCCAGCTCTTCGTTACCCCAGTGGCTGTCTGTCCAGTGCCTTCTTTACTGAGTTGAATGGTGGCTTCCAGGACAGTGGCCACCCTCCCCTCTCACCCAGATCAAGTCTCTAGAGAGATGCCACTTTTTCATTTCAAAGCTCTTGAGCCAAATCTGCCCATTCACATCACACTCCCCAGGAGTCTGCCATGTGGCCCTTGCATAGGAAGGGAATAGGACCGGAGCCAGAGGAAACGTCAGCCCCCCACAGTTTTTTATGGGTTAACTTGTAATAAATGGGGGGTTGGTGCCAGCAAGTGACAAGCTGAGCACCGGGAAGCAACGATCTGCCTGCCACACACATCATTTGCAGAACACAGGCTGACGATGAAACTGACCACATCGGTTTCCTCCCCTGCAGGTGCTGGCTGCTCACTCCCACCCACTAGGAAGGTGCTGGCTGCCCACCCCTCGCAATATCGCCAGTGTCTTTACCTTCTTCCGCTTGCTGGAGGTCAGAGCTGTCTGTTAAGTCTTCATCCACCCAGGGTCGAACCTCTGCCCTGCTTCTAGCCAACTCCTTCCTTTTCTCGATGTTTCCATCAGCATTTCTAAAGATCCACACAATCAAAATGCACACAACTGCTACCAACACCGGTGTCAGGGAAAACATGACTGTGAAGCTGAGCCAGGCAGGCAGGGAGGAGAAACGCCACAGGGAGGTGGGGAAAGGAGAGAGACTGCCGGGAGGAACCAGGACGTAACCCTGTGAGGACTTTGAAAGGGCAAAGATCACAGCTCTGGGCAATGGGGTGTGTTGTGGGCTTGGCAATCCCCAAGGACGTTCACCTGCTAAACTGTGGACTCAGTCAATACATCCCTCCACGGCCGGTGCCAGCTCCCGTCACCCCTTGCGGCCTTCTCCACCGACTGTTCTCTGAGACAGCATGTGTCCAGCCTGCCTGAAGCTAGGCAGTACCTGGAGACCTCGTTTCTAAAACAACAGATTTCCAGAAGCCGATTCCCAATGGCTGAAGGAAAGAAACCTAATAATCAGCCTTTTCAAGCATCCTGTTGTGAATACTGCCCTGAGGCTTTGATTTATTTTTTAAAATGAAATCGGAGCCAACATAGGGAGCAAAAAATGCTCGTGCTTGGCATTTAGAAAATCTTTGATCTAGAAAAAGTGATACAGAAGAATTAAAATGACAACCTGGTTAATTATATAAAGTAAAGAGGGCTTTGGTTTTAAGCAAATGGTTTAGTTAGTTTGGGCGCCTACCAGAAAAATATCAAAGGGCCAAGGGACTCAAACAACAGGAATGTTATTTACTACTATTCTGCAGCTTCGCAAGCCCCAGATCAAGCCGCAGGCTGGTGGGTCTAGTCAGGGCCTGGACTGACTGCAGCCGCCACTTGTCCACAGCGCCCTCTCCTGGCAGAGAGGGAGATCACACCCTCCTGGCTGTTCACAAGGGAAATGTATCTCCAGGGCCCATCCTCACACCCTAATTCTCTCTCCAAAGCCCCACCTCCTGATACCACCACACCACATCAGGGAGCGGGGAGACAAAAACTCCCTTGTTTAGCAGCAAAGTACCGAATCGTGTATAATAACATACCATTCCTGTAAAAGAGCACAAACCCTATATTTTTATATGGCTTGTATATGAATTTAAAACACGGGTTCCATCAGAATTTCTTTGCACTGGTTTTGCAACTCCCTGTGACTATATACACTTCAAAATAAATAGTTAATGCAGATAGTGGTTACTTGGGATGGAAAGGGTGTGACTATTGGACGGAGCACAGGGTAGGAGAGAGATTTTTGACTGTCTACAATTCCATCATTTTTAATCTTTGAACTATCATGAACAGTCTCAAATTTCTTCAATATTCAAAAATTAGAACTATGAGTGGGAGTCAATTATACAGAGACAGAGAAAGGTTCCCCAGGCAGAGGTGAAGGTGTGGCTAGGTGCTTCAGAAGGAGGGTGGGCCCGGGGTGCAGGGAGCCAGTGAGGCTGAGAGCTAAGTACTGCTAGAAGGTGCTGTCTTTGTGGTCATGCTAACAGGGTGTTTTCTTTTCCTCACATGGAATGTGGTGGTAGCTGGCACTTACTGCATGCTTAGCACATGGTAGCAGGCTCTTTCCTGACACACATTAGCCCTGATCTCATGACAGCCTGTACAGTGGACCCCAATGTATCCCCATTTTACAAATGAAGAAACTGATGCACCAGGAGTTAAGTGAGGTGTTTAAAGCCAGGGTTGTATGCATGGATCAGCAATCACCCCTTAGTGTTAGACTAAAATGGCCTCGTGTCATTTATGTCTTGATAGCAAGTTAAGCCCCCCACCCGGCAATTCCTAGGTTGAAACCCTGAGTTCTAAGCAGTGGTATTGGAAATGGGACTTTGAGGAAATAATTAGGTCATGAGGGTGGAGCCCTTGTGAATGGCATCAGTGTCCTTGCAAGAAGAGGACACAAAAGCATCTGCTTCCAAACCATTTTTGTCACCCCCAAAGAAAATTTGTAACTATTAAGTCAAACTCACCTCCCCACTTCCCGCAAGGCCCTGATGATTCACTGTCTCTATGATTTTGACTATTCTTCATGCCTCATATAAGTGGACTCATGTAAGATCCATCCTATTGTGATGGTCTTCCTTCACTTAGCATGAGGTCTTCAGGGTTTGCCCATGTTCTAGCTTGTTTCATGACTAAGTCGTACTAATTTTTAACAAAAGAATATGATAAACTGGGCCTCCCTGGTGGTCTAGGGGTTCAATCCTTGGCCAGGGAGCTGACCCACATGGCACAGCAGACCTCTCCTGTCTCTCTGCTGCTCCCCTCAGCAGTGTATTTCAGTAGATCTGCCTGCTCTGCTCCCCACCCTGTCTCTGGTGAATCCTCTCACCACCCACACCCCAGTTCTTCTGTGCAAAAATAAATAAATAAAATCTTAAAAATATATATTAAATTGGGCTCTCCCTGGTGGTGCAACAGATTAAAGCACAGCATTATGAAGCTCTCTGAAGCCACTGCAGCACGAGTTTGATCCCCGGCCAGGGAACTGACCCACACGGCATGGGAGACCTCTCCTGACCCACCCATTGCTCCCCTCAGCAGTGTATTTCAGTATATCTGCCTGTTCTGCGCCCCACTTTCTGTACCTCTGGCCTGCACTCCAGTCTGTATGCATAAATAAAAAAATCTTTAAACACACACACACACAGGCTTCATTCAGCCTGAGCCAGACAAGAGCCCAGCAAGGACATGAAGCTTTTACTCAGTCTTGACAAGCCCTAGGTCACCTGAGACTGTGTAACTCAGTGTCCGATTCGGTGCTGGTGCCAGAATGAAATCGAGTCAACACACAGTTCACTTCCTCAAGAAAGTTACAACTATAAGTGTGTGGAGGACATGGTTGATTTTCCTGAACATGCTGTTGTGGCCTCTGATGCTTCATGTCTCAGGTTGTGATAGTGCAAGTGTGGAAGGAATGGCCAGTCTTCAGACCATGTCGTGAATAGGACATTCTAGAAAACACCTTTTCCTGAGGCACACCGAAGATTTTTAACCTTCCATGCTGACATTCAATCTAATGAACCTTTCCTAACACACCATAAGCATATTTTTGGGGGAAATCAAGTGAGCATGAATGGGAAGTCTCTGGGGAAAACATGCCTTGGAGCACTGAGTCAGGTAACATGGTTTTATCAGTCAACACACAAGCTGTTATCAAGTGTTTCTAGCGGGGCTTATTTATTGTTACTCAGGTGTGATATCAAGGGCTTAAGTTAAAGGCTTGAAGTGCAATGTGCCTGTGTAGACTTCATAATCACATCTGAGTCTAGGTATGAACTTGGGAAGACAGAGGGAATTAACAAATGTCTTTAAGCCGGACCTCACCTATGCTCAAGCCACACTCATTGGTAGAATCGCCAGTCTCAAAGGGCAGTTTTGGCACACACATGCCTAACTGCCCGAGAGCTGTACGATGCTGACCCTTAGACAACATGCAAGTCCTGTATGTTGACCTTTCACCCGCATCACCCCTCTTAATCTACTGGACTCAACCCACTTTATAAGAAACTTCACTTCTTCAGCAATTCCTCTTGAGGGTCTAGACACAAAAGAATAGAAAGCCAAGTACCAAAGTGACATTTGCACACCCCTATTTATAGCAGCATTTTCCTCATCGTCAAGAGGCAGAAACAACCCAAGTGGCAGGAAGGATAAATGGGGAAGTGAAATGTGGTCTAGACAACTGTGAAGTAGGATTCAGCCTCAGGAAGCAGAGAATTTCAACCCACTGACCCATGTTACAACACAGATGAGCCTTGAAAATACTATGCACAGTAAAAAAAGCCAGTCATGAAAAGAGAAGCATTAATGACCCCAGTTATGTGTGGAACCTAACAGAATCAAATGCACAGAGGCAGGAGGGAGAAGGTTGCTGTCTGGAGGCAGAAAAGGGGGGTTATCGTCTAGGGGGATGATTTGTTTTGCCCTGCAAATGGAGACAGCTCTAGAAATGGGTGGTGGTGATGCTATTTCAGCAACCTGAGTGTATTTGATACCATGGGCCTGTACACATTAAAATGCTTAAGATAGCAAGTCCTGTGCTATGTGTATTTTATCACAATTAATTTTTTAATGATTTATTTATTCATACAGAACTGGGGTACAGGCCAGAGGTGCAGGGGCAGTGAGGGGATTCATCAGAACAAAGTGGGGAGCAGAACAGACAGATCGATGAAGTACACTGATGAGGGGAGCAGTGGGCGGGTCAGAAGAGGTCTGCTGCGCCATGTGGGTCACTTCCGGAGCAGAGATTGAACTCGCACTGAAGTGGCTGCAGCAGGCTGGCAGCTCTGCGTCCTAACCTGTTGCATCACCACGAAGAGCCGCAATTAAATTTTTTAACTAAAAAAAAAAAAAAGAGGGGCTCTCCCAGGTGGCTCAATGGGTTAAAGCACCACACTATGAAGCTATCTGAAGCCACTGAAGCATCAGTTTGATCTCTACTCAGGGAGCTGACCCACATAGCACGGCAGACTTCTGATCCACCCGCTGCCCCCCTCAGCAGTGTATTTCAGCTAATCTGCCTGTTTTGCTCCCCACTCTGTCTCTTGGTGAATCCTTTCACCCATCACTCCTCTGGCCTGTACCCCAGTTCTGTAAATATAAATAAATAAATGTTAAAAAAAATAGGCAATTAAAAAAAACAAAAAGCCAACTTTAAAAAAAAGAGAGAGAGAGAGAGACCTCAACTGCCCTAAAAAGGCAGAAGTGAAGCGTTTTCACACTCTGGCTAAGGCAGAGTGAATGAATCAGAACCGGTGCTTGAAGTGTGGTCCTGCTTAAACACCAGGAACCTCCCAGTGGAACAGGTTCAAAATGCAAATTCTCAAGCCCTAGACCCACTGGCTGGGTCCAAGTCCTGGGGTCGAGTCCAGCAATCTAGGTGTCAACAAACCTTCTGGGTGGTTCTGATGTTTGTTAAATTTTGAAACCACTGGGCTCTCTCCTCAGTTTCCCCAAAACCAGATTCTTCAAGCCTAGGTGCTCCCTCCCCATCAACCAGAGAGCAAAGTGTCAGAAACATTACTTTTTTTT